CTCCATTGGCTAAGTGTCCGACTTTGCTTCAGGTTCGTGATTTCAAACCCCGCATTGGGCTCTCTGCTGTCAGCACAGAGCCTGCTTCAGATCCTCTTTCTCCCTCCCCACTCATGCTCTCTCTCTCTCAAAAATAAACATTTTTTAAAAAGTAAAAATAGTAAGTTTTTATTAACTCACACCGGCTTTTCCCCTAGTCTACAACACTGTCCACACTACACCTAATAACTCTGGTTATACTTATAAGCAGATTACTCCTGGAAAACAGAGCAGCTGACAACAATTTCCTCACTTCCTTCCAAAAACCTCCTCTCATAAAGAATTGCTCCGGGGCGCCTGGGTGGCGCAGTCGGTTAAGCGTCCGACTTCAGCCAGGTCACGATCTCGCGGTCCGTGAGTTCGAGCCCCGCGTCGGGCTCTGGGCTGATGGCTCAGAGCCTGGAGCCTGTTTCCTATTCTGTGTCTCCCTCTCTCTCTGCCCCTCCCCCGTTCATGCTCTGTCTCTCTCTGTCCCAAAAATAAATAAACGTTGAAAAAAAAAATTTAAAAAAAAAAAAAAAAAGAATTGCTCCAAATTTTGAAAAACCGTAATTATGTTACTTTCCTCATGTATGGACAGTAAAGGACATTTTTGTACCAGACTTTCTGATTCCTTCAAACTCACTTCATTGCTGTGGTATAAAATTCCACTTAACACTGAATCTACAACTGAATAAATTCAAACAACGTTTTAAGTCACATCTGAGGGCCTCAATATTGTTAGAAAGTCAAACTTAGAAATGCACCAGAATGGTGAAAAGGACACTTGAGAATATACTGATTTTATCTGTCTTTCTTATCCAATCTTTTCTTCTGAGAAGCAAAATCTGCCACACATCACATCAGCATCATTGACAAGAATGGAGCAAGAACACTTTCTACTTCATGAAAAGACAAAGGAATTTGGCACTAATTGTGCATACACACACTATTCCCATATGGTGTCCCTTTACGTACAAATTTTCTTTGTTCTTTACACCACTTATGCAAATAGTATTTATAGGCTGTCCAAGGAATTAAAAGTAAAAAAACAAAACAAAAAAAAACCTCAATTTAATAAAAGGAAGTGAAAGGAAAATAGTAGAGGAAAACAGCTGACTTCAGTTTTTTGATTAGTAAATGACTCACATCTTTATGCTTCTCTAGGGTTTTTTTTTTTTTATACTTTTTCAAACTGCTTTCCAATCATCAAATCATATGTTCAAATCATACAGATTTAGTGGTAGACAAGGTAAACTTTTTGCCAAATTGCTGGCTGTCAAAACTCTTACCCATGTAGCAGTGATATGCAAAAAGCCAGTTTAAATTCTGGTCCTTTCAGACAGCTATTCTGCACAACCACGTCCTCAAACTGAAACCCCATGGTAAGTTCGTTCACTAACAAACCAAAGATGGTCGCAGATAAGCCAAATTCTAGGCCCAAATCTAAACATCAGTGAGCAGGAAGGACCAAACCATTGTATCACATTTGGAGACCTGGCACAAAAAAACAATTTTACTAACTCCACCGTCTGTGCGTAGTACTGTCTGCAAAATACAGCTGGCAATCGTGGTGCACAAGAGGCCTACCCAGGAAACACGAAGTTTGAGTAGCTAACTAAGGACATCATCACACCACACCGCCGCACAAGAACATGGCTCTCTAAGGCAGGCGTCAACACTGCAGCCAAAGACCCAGGGGAAATAAGGTCTTTCTTTCCGGGGTGTTTCAGCCTGCCCAGACCCGCAGGAGCCCCCGCCGCGCTAAGGCCCGCGCTAGGACACCTTCTCCACGCCTCCTGGGGGAGGGCGGTGAGCAGCCTCGTCTCAGGTTCTCCCTCCGAGGAGGAGTGGGGTGACGCCGGGGCGGGAAGGGGGGGAGCGCTAAGGAGGCCCGGCAGTGCCCGCCCAACCCTACCCAGCCTCCGCGGGCCCCTGGAGCGGGCATCCGTGACAAGGCTGCCCGCGGGGCCCACTTGCAGGGATGACAGCGCCTGAGGGGCCCGCTGGGGCCCACCTCCCGGAAGACCCCAGCGGTCGGGGTCCCTGGGGTGACTCTGCCTGCAGGGCCCTGCCGATTCGGGATCACACGGCGGAAGGGGCGCTCCCGCCTGGAGGTAACTAGACCCTTACAGTTGGCCTCCGCCCCCCTATATGGGCCAAGCGGGCTCCTCCAAGCAAGATAAGGAACTCCTGAGTCTCCCTTTCCCTGCACTGCCCTCCAAAGAGCCTTGAGCTTTCCCCTCAGGGGACATGTCGCTGCCCCACTCGCCCCCCGGTTACGACATCAGTCACCAGCAAGTCACTCACTCCGCTTCCGCCATCTTCTCTCCTCCATCACTAACACGGGCTGCGCATGCGCCCCCCGGCGGCGAGCGGAGGGGCGGGGTCGACTCAGCCCGGGGGCCCCCCAAGGTCACGTGGCGTTCTCGGCTTCCAATCCCCCCTCCCACCTGAGGCCTTGTTCGCTCTGGGAAATGACCAGGTTTCTCCAATTTAGCTGCCACTGTCTCCCCTCCAATCCCTCCCTTTCTCTTGCCGATGGTCATCTTCTTAAGGAGGGGTCTGTAACCAAGATATAAAAAGTTCTGCTTGGACAGTTAACTTAAAATTTTTAAGAACATCTAAAATATACCAAAGCCTATGCAAACTGCCATAAGTGAAATGAAAGAAAATACAACCGAGATTGGATGAAGTTTCAGTGGGAAAGGAAATGCCTTGGTGGCTACCGGGCTTTTTACCTAGGGCTTATTGAAGTTGAGGGTACAGACAAGCAGTTCCTCTCTCAGCCTCAAAAATTGTGTTCCAGACGCTGTGAGATTAAGGAATCACCATGATTACCCTATGAGTATTATTCACGTCTTCCGCATGAATTTACTGAGCATTTAGTAGGCATTGCAAACTTGAGCACCGGAAAGAATAAGCAGGAATGGCCACCGGTTTGCTAATATGGTTTGCTGTACAGTGCATATGCTAACTACACTGAGGCAGGCTGAGACAAATAAATAAAGATGACTTTTAAAAATCTGTGTCTTCCAAGAAATTTTAATATCAAGAGTGGGGTGTTTTTGTAGAGATATCCATTCAATGTAATAAGTATTCTGAAACATCCATTAAGTGCTTTGGAAACCTTAAGTTCATGAAATAATCAATCTTTACTGCCCTTAACAGAAAAAAAAAGTGTACTGATGACAATGTCTTTTGGTATTTCTAGACCTAATTTCAAGACCTGAAAAATGAAGTATTGATATAAATCTATCATAAAGTGTATTGTGGTCTAATGAAAAGTATACTTAATCTTAGAAATCTTGTGCTTTCAGGCTTTCCCTAGGGAAGGAAAAAGAACATTTCCAGTGTAAACTAAATTGTCAGTTTACTTCTTTTCCCCCCTCTGAAAAGATAGGTTTTTGTGTGTTTTTTTCCTAAAGATTTTATTCTTGGGGCACCTGTGTGGCTCAGTTGGTTAAGTGTCTCACTCTTGATTTCAGCTCAGG